GTCGCGCCGGATGTCCACATCGCAACCCATGATGGACCGGAAGGTGGTGTCGTGGATTCCCATCGCCTCCTTGCCCACCAAGCTGGGCTGGAACAGCACCTCCGGGCAGCGGAACCGCTCGCTTTGCAAGGAGACGATGTTGCCATCTGGCAACTCATACGTCTTCGCGTTGTCGCTACTCTCCGCTGCAGACTTCATCTCGCTGTCAAAGTCCAGGGCGATGTAGCAAAGCTTCCTTAGCATACAAGAAAACCTAACGGAAGAACAATGGAGCACTAGACCCGCCTACGCGCTGCAACTGCCAAAAAACTTAACCAATCATGATGGAGCTTCTCTTTGATGTCCCGCACAATCTCTCGCTCGGCGCTGCTGCTAAAGGAGTAGCCACTCTCCATCATGATCTTCATCAAGTATTCGGTAAGGTCGCGGCCAGCTAGGTCCAGGCGTGCGATTGCATGTGGAAGCGCATATCCCTCGTAGATAGGCACGGTGTGAGAGACGCCGTCTCCCGAATCCATGACAATGCCCGTGGTTCTGCCGGAGGAATACAGAGAGAGCACTGCCTGGATGGCGACATACATCGCCGGCACTCCAAACGTCTCAAACATGATCCTTAGTGCCACATGCCTTTCTAGCCTCACATGTGCTGCTCGAACTGCGAGCGATGTTTCGGTGCCCAGTGCCCATCCCTACTTAAACCGACACCAAGCGTCTGAGTCATGCGCTCACGATTGGCCTTTGGGTTCAGCGGCGCCTCTGTCAGCAGAACCGGATGTTCTTCAGGCGATGCACGCAGCTCGTTGTAGAAAGTGTGGTGCCATATTCGCTCCATGTCGTCCCAGTTCGTCACGATGCCGTGCTCGATAGGGTACTTGAGGGCCAGGACACCACGCTTAGCCTGCGCCTCATCTCCGACGAGGTGGTCTTTCCTTGGCAAGTCTGTCTCAGTCTCAGAAGCAACATGCTATGCTGCGAGCCGGCAGAGTCGCGGAGAATCAAAGCTTCACTCAGCGGTCAAGCTTCTGGTCCATGCCGACCATGATGCCCGGCATCTTCGGGCGCCCGATGATGGAAGGAAAGACTGTTCGGGGAGCGTCGTCGCCAGAGAACCCTGCCTGCCGAGAGCGTTGATGGGGAGGGAGACCGACAGCAAAAGAAAAACCTTGCAGCATGGATCGTTTACAAGGCCCGCCTTGCACATGCCGCTGCCATTGTCAACCACAAGAGCTACAACCTCGTCCGACATGGCTAACTCCTTGCTCTGCGAGAGGCAATCGTGCCCTGAAGCTGGGAAGCCGAAACACTGACGGAATCATCTCGCATTTCTCGGACATTGACGCATGACTCGCGGAAATGTCGTTAAAACCACCTGCTGATCCTGCGCAAGCCTTCAACTAGACTTAACACTTCACAGGCTGCATGGACACACGTGCGTTCATTGTGGCCCAATAGAGCTCT